ATATACTACAACCATTTGCAAGTATAGAAGAAAAAAAAATACCTAAAAAAAACAACTATTCAATACAATTTCAATAGTTACAAAACTTAGGGAATCTAAGTGCGCACAATGTATTATCACCACATAAGATCAAACATGTGTGATTCTGTATAACTTTTCGGTGTTCTACGACAAATGTGTGCACCAAGATTGGACTGACAAAAACATACACACAAATTTTGATTCACTTGACACTAAGCTAGAACCGCGAATAATTCAAATGTATGTAAGACGACAAATATCTTAAAAGCAGTGATGAAGTAGAAACAGCGAGAACAATGTGTAGAGTGTATGAAAGTAGTACCCGTAAAATATTATATGTCAGAAAGTTTTCTTTTTTTCAAATACAGAGTTATAAAATACGAAATTATTCAATTTATCAAAATATATACAAACAAAAACCGAACTTAATGAAACTTATTCAATGCATTTATCACAGTTTTATTTTTTTGATTTTCTCTTACGTCTAAGCAAACTTAAATAAACTTAACTGCGGAGAAAATATAAAATGACTTTTACAAAGTTTGTTAATGCAGTTATACAATTTTTTATTTCCGATCAAATAAAATATAATATGAGATGAGATTTTAGATGCACTATTTGGCTAGCGACAACGTTTATTTTGTAGCAGAGTTCCATGTCGATGAAATTCTTTTAAAAATTCAAGTACATTAATATCGACTTAAACAATAAAAAAGCTCAAAAATATATATGCAAATCCAAATATATATTATGTATGATTACAGTGTCGGGTCAATACGCCATCTCTTATGATAATACCGGATTTACTTTTTCATGTTGAAATACGTTATATTTAATTTCGCAACAGAAACACATACTGGCGAGAAAGCGAAATCATCTCCTGAAGGTTATAACTGTACACAAGTAATCAATCGACTACAAACGTTCATATAAATATAAACACATAAAATATTATTGAATATAAGAACATAATACTACGATAACGAATCAAAAACGCTGCTAAACAATTTAGGTGTAATAAACTTCATCCAAATCTATTCGTTTTAATGCAATTGATACTATTAATATAATAATATTATCAACATTTTAATGACAGCAAAATTATAAAATTAAAATTATTTAATGAACGATTAGTTCTTGAATTATAGACGTCTAAACTCTAGAACATTAAATCCAGTACCACGGCTATAATAAAATAGATGCGTAGAAAAAAAGAAACTTAACAGTCACCAAAATAATGATAATAACTGCGCTTTTTAATCGACGAGTGTGTATAATTTATACGCGTAAATTATATGATATAAAGTTATAACGTTTTTTTACCTCCAAAATAAGAGATAAAAACAGCAGAGGGACCTTTTTAATTTCAAATTTTCCATACGTTTTATCAAGGATAACATTTGTGTAAACGGTTTAAAAACCTATTTATATATGTTATTGTGTGTTAAAGGGTTCAAGGAAAACTCATTTGATTTATATTAACCATTGTATTAAAAATATTATTGAATATAAGAACATAATACTGCGACAACGAATCAAAAACGCTGCTAAACAATTTAGATGCAATAAACTTCATCCAAACCTATTCGTTTTAATGCAATTGATATTATTAATATAATAATATTATCAAAATTTTAATGACTGCAAAATTATAAAATTAAAATTATTTAATGAACGACTAGTTCTTGAATTATAGACGTCTAAACTCTAGAACATTAAATCCAGTTGTA